GAAAGACAAAAAGACTCAGTTCCAGATTACTTCCTTCAAAATGTGTGTGCACGGAGCGAACTAACTTTCTTTAATTGGCTGTTGTAGGTATCCCAACCCCCACAGAGAAAATTTCCTTAGGAAGAACCTCTTCTGAGTTTCTTCTTCCTAAGTCAACCTATCACACTGTCAAATTGCAAAAGAGCCTTCCAGGAAGCAAACACTGCATCTATTTCAAACAGAAAACGAGGGGTAACATATTCTTAGAAACATGTCCAACTGAAAGTCATTTTCCCTTTATAAAAAAATAAACAAATTAATCACTGACAGATTGGCAGGTTTCACTAAAAATACTGCAGAGACTGCTATCAGAAACAGTATGTCACAAGAACAATAAGCCTGTATCACTGGAGTACATTAGCAGTGACAGGTTTGTTTTCTGCCACAAACTCCTACTCAGATTTAGATAAGTTTATTGCACTTAATACTGCACCTGAAATGTGTAAACAGCTCTCCATTACGATGTCCTAGTATGTTTGTTTACTTTTAAATGTGACATAGCTGCTGTTGTTGTCATATACTTGGAACTCAAAATGTTTCTGGAAATTTCTGAAGCAGCTTTCAAGTACAGTCAAAAAACTCATTTGAGGAAAAAGCACTAGGGTACTTCTTATAAATTTATAGGTATAGTTCAGTGAAACATAAAATCATTCCAGGTCTCTTTTGCTCTATAAATAAGACTCCAGCTGACTAATTGCCTTATTCCTTCCAAGCCTCTCCTTGCACTGATTTCTCAGAAATAGAGAAACAGACTCAGAAAAACTAATAAACTTTCTAAAAGGTAGAGAAGACAAAAGTAGCAGCAAACAGAAATAAAGAGAGCATCTTAATCCTACAGGACCTTTCCAAAACAACGTGGATTCCACGTTCACATTAATAAATTTTCAAGGAAATTATATTCAGGTTAAAATTTACAGGATCCTAGTCATTTTTTGAGGAGACTCTAGAAGGACTTTATTAGAAGGTTTGAAAATAATTAACAAGAAAGGCATTTAAGTGGAGACAAATGTGCAAAAACACCCAAAAAGATAAATTAGAAAGTAAGATCATCTAAACACAGCTGCTATCTGCTGCAAAGCTATCAGAAATACATGAGATGCTACTCAAATGATAGTTTGCCCTGAGCTAAGTTGTAACAGCAGAGAAGCCATATCTTAAATCAAAGTTTCTGAGTTTCATTCATTTATATTACACTGTTGTTTTCATTGAATATGTACATGTAAGTCACACTTTGCAACATAATAAGATGAGAACAGGTCCCCTGTTAGATAACACTTCTTGGGACATGCCAGAGCTGCCCAGTATAAATAGCACAGCACATGAGCAACAGCAAACACTCACAAAGCAGCTTGGATGAGATTTTTACAGCCTTGGCAATACACACTGGTATTTCCAACAGTGAACTCTATTGTCAGCATACATTGCTAAACCTACCCAGTGGATCAAAATGTAATGCTTACACATTTCCCAATGCTATCCTGCCCTCTTAGCACTAAGTCTCCTTGCTGACTCTGATGAAAACAGCCTTTTAAACATTCTTATCACTTAGATATGAAGCCTGGCCTTCTCATGACTCTTGTATTGTCAACATACAAGATTACAGGTTTCTAGGTAGGATAGGAGAAGGAAGTTGCAATGAAAAATATGCCCTACTTACAAAACAACATTGCAGGTTTCAGAATACAACTGTAAGGACAGCTTGTGGTGCATTCCTCTTTCCCAGCCTGAAGTCAGAGACAGACAGTTCTGTCCCTACCTTTCTGATGAAATTAACGTGGCACTCTCCTTTCTGCACAGGTGGAGGGCACGCCGGAGGGATGCTGTGTGCTTTGTGACATCTGCTCTGCTCTGCTGCATATGAAATGGCTGACAAGAAACGGACTTCAACAAAATTGACCTCCTGGATCACGCTGGTAATATCAAAGCTCTACGACAAAACATAGAACTAAACCATTGCAGTGCTGACATTTATATATGAAATTTACAATCACTATTACATGGGGATTTTAATACCATACATATATTATTCAAAGCTTTTGAAATACTGTCACAGTATGCTCTGGTTTTGAAGGAAAAGAAAAGCTACTTTGAAAACTGAGAAAAAGAAAATCCACAGGAATGTTCTAGATAGAAGGAGATGTTTCTGGGCAAACCACTTTCCTCACACCAAGTTCTCATTGAAGGCTGCAGCACTCTGCTTGCACACAGAAGTGCTTGAAGGGCAAGGACAGTAAGAGAATCTTTACCCTCCTTCCTCATTCAGAACTCATCTGCATTTTTGGGAAGACACCTTATCCCAACTCCAGAAGCTGCTCCATACGAGAGTGCTTCCAGCTCACACTGTGCTGCCAGCTCATCCACCACAAGGCACTGATCTGCCTTGTCCATGAATGCTGCAAAGATGTGGTTCATTCCCAAAATGAGATGAGCTGCATTCTCATCCCCCAAAGGTACAGAGACACATTCTATGCCAGCACCAAATTAAGTATTTGGGGGCTTCCTCACCAGGTCACATAATCTCCTTCAGTGTGGCTGAAGAAAATGAGAAATGTTCCATTTCAGAATTATCCTGTGCTACCAGGACAATATGGTTCCAATGGCTAATACCCATTTATTCCTCAGAGTGCACATTTGTGAAAAGCCAAGTCTTGGCATTTTTTTTCTAATTTGGGAGCAGCCCAGCTAGAATCACTTATTTCTGTAGCATACAGCAGGAAATTAGAAAGCAAATAGCATTCCCCAATCCAGAGCCTTCAGAGAGTCCTTCCTGCAGAAGTTGTTGCCATGTGGAACAGGTGAACAAGGCACAAGCCTGGATCACAGTAACCCCGGATTCAATTTAATGCAGTACACTTTGGTTTTACAGTGAAGGCCATTTTATGAATTGTTACAATCATGAAGTTGCGGAAACATGGACAAACTAATACCACTTCCTAACTTTACAGAGCTTGCTACTGACAAACCTTTAGATACTCTCATCAGTAAATAACTGCAATTTCATTAAAGCACTATGAAATTTTTGATTTTGCTGATAGTAAAAGTAAGTCAAAGAGAAACGAAGTGGTTTGTCCTAGGTTACACAGATCCGCGTGGCAGAATGTCTTATGTCTCAGTCCAGTGCCTCTGCAATAAAATCTGCCAGATTGGTAAATGATGAGATATGGAGACACCAGATTTCATCTGTAATTCAGTTATTCCACTATCATTCTTCCTTTATCTCTTCAGACTTTTTGATTCTTTTAAGAAAAGCAAGGATTGCTCCTTATGTTAATACCAGAATAATTTTGTATTTTAAAGCTATAAAATTAGTTTAAATGTTTTTGCCACTCTCAAGATCATTCCATAATGAACACTCTAATGCTGACATAAGCAAAACTCAAAAATGCAAGATAATATTATCCAAAGTACTATATTAAAAATAAACCACCCTCTTTAAAAACCAAAAGCATGAAAACACACAGGCTTTACAACATGTGCATTTTCATTGCAGTATTGACATGTAAACTATTCTAATACCAATTAGTAAGCAGATTTACAGCTAATAAAACAGATTTAGCTTACCTTTTCTTGGAGCTGGGACAGATCCCAAGAAGCAAGACATATTATTAGCTAAATTGATCCTCTTGCACTGGTCCTCTCATTTAGGACCAATTCTCATTAAGGCACATTCACCTCTAGATATGACCCTGTTGCTAGTGAAAGGTAAGTACACTTCCCTTTCTAACATTTACCATATTACACATGCAGTACTCAGGTCAACACTTTCTACATCCAAGCACCTATTTTTATGGGTACTTGAATGCACTGAAAGTGCTCAGAACAAAACTGCTCTGAAGAAACACAGAAGCACCTTCAGAAATAAACACATTACTTACATATCTGTTGAACATGTTGTCTGTTCTCCCGAGAGTGACACTGTTGAGCAGGACCTGTGCTACTGTATCCACTCCCTCAAAAACCAAATTCACTTTCTGCCACTTTCTACAGAAGAAAACATAAGTGTGAAAAACTGTCAGAATACCTAGAGTTAAAAACACACAGGAGACAGACAATGTAAAAATGTGTATCACTATTATACCAGCAGTTGCCTCAGCTACCTGCAAGAACATTTGACTCAGTGTAGCTAAATTGTACCTTTAAATAGTCAAATTAAGATGACAACTGAAGTAGCTCAAGTCAGCATGTTCAAGAATACAGAAGGTTCACATACCCACCAGATACTAGATGGAATAGCTTTCAATTAGCCTAAGTATTATCTTTTCTCATCTGACAATTCATAAGTAATTTTTAACAATCAATTAAAAAAAAGAAAAAAGACGTAATTGAAGTGTTCCATAGCAACAACTTTGTAGCTACATGATTGCATAATTTGTTTTATCAGATACAAATGTATTAAGGAGATTTTGAGCCGATGGATTAACTTGCAATTCTGCATGAAAGAAGGCACAAAACTATTTCAGACATATCTTTACTGCATACCTGACGTCAAAAGGAGTTTTGAATGTCCTGCTGTAAGTCCAGTTATCTAGTGAAATCCATCTGTACATCACATCATTAAATCTATAGTATGGATCCTAGTAACAGACCAACAAAAAGAAAATTAAAAGATTTACTTAGTATAGTGTTACTACATAAAAAGCATCACAATATCCATTAGATGAACACTTATTTCAATCAGTCTGCAAATGCAAAATCCACTTTACTTACTTAGTCCTGATATTCCTTTTCACCTTTGAAATTTTGCATGAAAGCAAAGCTTTAGTAATATTTGATTTTATTTATATAGGTCAAAACCCTGTCTGCTATAATCACTCAAATTAGAAGGATTTGTTTTTACAGAAGAAATTACTAGTCTGGAAATTAATCAATAAATCCAGAGAGCCTGTGACTTAATGAGAGGAACAGAAACATGATCACCCTCATAATTATGGAGAAAGTAAGACTAATAGGATTTTAAAAGGCAAAGAAACAACACTTTCGGCTTCTAGGGACAGCAGTGAACAAATCTAGTTTAAAATTATTGCAAATAATCCAGTTGTTCCTTGTCAGGTGGACTTGCTGCAGTAAGGATAAATTAATTGTTATATGTGGAGGGATGGAGAAAGAGAAGAAGGAGAAGCAACACAGTTTTGGTTTTGGTAAAAAACTAAATGACTGCTTTTGAGACTAGTATTGCATTTTCACCAAATGTGCCCTTCTCCCTTTAACCACACTCCTGAGGAAGAACAGAAGGCACAGTTGGTCTAAGCGATGTCTTTGGCCTTTCCCGCTTCATGCTGTATTCACTACAGCGGGTCACCGTGTCCTTCACGCAGGTTAAAGGATGTGGCACCCACACAAAGGCAGCAGAGGGGCACAGTGTCCCACCCCGTGTCCGAGCGCAGGTACCCAGCCTGACAGCCCCGTTCCAGCCCCTGCAGCAGCCGCACGGCCCAGCTGCCGCCCCAAAACAAAGAATGGCCAGTTTCTTCTGGCCTGCATGACTCGACCCCGGTTTAGAGAGATGGGAGCTGCTTTAAGGTCTGCTTTGATAGATAGGAGTGTTCTAACACTACCAACACACTTAACTACCCACCCGGAATATCCTAAGTCACACTGAAGAAAATCTGCCCAGCGTTTTGTTGTTTTTTTTCATACTTGCTGGAACTTAATTTTTCTCCCCATTTCAGGAGTCAGCATGCAAAAAAATCACATTTGGGATTTGAAATCTTCTGGAAAAAAACAGTCTTATATTTATTTTACAATTAACAGGGTCAGCTTTGTAATAAACACCCAAACCTATTTACATAGCAGAACAAAATCATAACATCTAAGTGACTCTCCTCAGCAGCACAGACCCTTCTGGAGTCCTACAGCAATACCAAAATCATACAGAGGGAAAGGCGTCACCCTGCCTTTACATGCTGCACTCTATCAATCAAATTTCTTACTACAAGGGAAGAGTTAAAAAGGAAAAGACTCATGACCTGAGTTAAACTGTGACTTCTGTAATGATAACACAGTGTATTCTCTAAAAGTTAAGTCATCATGAGCTTACAGGACTATCACTGAATTTTAAGGCATTCATTCCATTACTTTTGAGGAATGTATCTCAGACTTTTCTTAAGATGCAAGTTAAAGCCAGTAATTTGCATATTGAGACGTAAAATTTAGGTTCATAAAAGAAACTCCACTGAGATCATTGTACTGAGATAATGAGAGGCAAGCATCCAATGTCAGAGACCATGAAAGCCCACAATACGTACTTTAAAATGCACATTTTTATCAAAAGTCTCGCTTTAACATTATATACCATCTTATATATATTTATATATACATATGTATTCGTATTTAACAGTACATACTATTTTATTTCACATTATATTACATTGAAATATGTGCATGTTAGATTTCGATTTTTGCCATTTGTATGTGTGAAATATTTAACAAAAGGCGTGAGAGGAAAGTTACAAATGCACTACCAGCAGCAGACTGTAAAGCCATTTATTTAATGGTCAAACAATCAACATCAGTGCCTCTGCAAAGATGCACAAAAGAAACCTGCACCATTTCTCCCACCGAACAGTTACCAAGGTGTTAATGAACAAAGTCCTGACTTCTGGAAAACACAAACCTGGTTGTCTAGCAGCAGAAATGCAGGAATATTTTACCAGAGGCAAAAATCATTGCCAGATGGGCTCTTACAAGAGCTTACAGAGTGGCATGTTTAAATCTCAGAACGCACTGAAGTTCACTTTCCTGAAGGTGCTTTCTTCTTTCCTAGTCTAAAGCCTTCAGACTTCAAGAAATGCACTACCAAAATAGGTGTCACAGAAAGTGCTAATTAGCCTTTCTGACTCACAGGTATCCACCCTTTCAGATGGAAAGATCACAGTTCCGTGTACCTTCATGTAAAACTTAATAGTTTACTGATACAATTGCTACCTAACCAGTAAGACAGCTGATATATATCACACAGAAAAGCTGTTAAATGCTAATAACTGGTCAGCTGCTTTAACCATGACAAATGTTGATTATTGTAAAGTAAGTCGTGCCAACGTTCAAGCAATGCTTTTAAGACAAACGCATAATCATACTGAAGTCCTCTAAGAAAGCAGAATTACTTCGCCAATACGCTTGTGAGGTTGCTGACGTTTTCATTATTAAATACAACTGTTCGGAGTGCTGGAAGATGCAACCATGTAAGTCAAATTGTTTGGATTTTTCCGAAACAGAATTTCATCCCACGTTAAATCATTTCACATCAAAATGAAAGGCTTAGTTCAGAAAGGTGCATGCAAGGACAAACATTTAAAACACTTAAATGCACAGGGAGAAATTGAAAGATGGTAGGAAATAGGCTGCACGTCTATTAAATAAACTTCACATTCAATAGCTCAACAGCTCAGTGTGTTCCTGGAAGCAATTCATAGAGGGGTGGAGTCAACTATACCTATTTTTAGATCCCACCAAACGTTACAGCCCTGCATTTTCCTGCTCCCTGCAATTTGGGGGAAAAACCTGAAGCATTCAAGCCTGTTTGTTCCCTGCTCCCAACCTCAACGCTGAAAGCATGCAGCAAATCACTTCTTACTAAGAGGAGGTTAAAAGCCCTGCTACGGATCATCAAAAGGAAGCAATTTCCAGGTCGGCTAACAGAAGGACATCAGCAGGACTTCAAAAGCACTGGCGGCACTACAACGAAGGAACTGCCAGCGTCCAGATGGAAGCTTCTCTTTACAATGATTTTAAGTGTGTTATGAATAAGGTATAGTGATTGGCTCATGGAAATGAGGAGGAGTTATTAAGTATGGTGGGAAGAAGTTCTGTAAAGGTTTATAGTTCTTTTGACATGTACTCTTTCGGTTCAGTTTTAAACCCATTTCAGTTCTCTCTTCAATTCTCCCCTCCCCCTGGGTGGTTGCTGCCGGGCAGCTCTGGCTGACAGAGCTGACAAAACTGCTCTGGGGGAAGGGTGCATGCTTGCGAGCAGCAATAGAGAGTGGGGGAACACTTGCTGCTGAGAGGCTTGGCAGGGTAACATCTCATCACCAGTCAAGATGCGAGAGGGGCTCCACCAAACAAAGGCACGGAGTACTGACTGACAGACCTTGGCAAGAGCCAAACCTACTGTAAGGATGAGGCCACGGACCCTAGGAGGAGCCAAATATAAAGATATGGGCAAAGCCACGGACTGTGAGAGGTGCCGGGAGGACATATAAGGACTGCTTATGAATATTCATATCGCTGCTACGAGCTTGAGCGTATAAAAGGCGAAAACGTAATTTTGTGAGCTGAGCCTCTGGTGAGCAAAGAGTTTCACTATGCTCCCAGCGCTGTTCCCCCTTTACTTTGTAACTTCTACGGGTTCTAATTAAATTTTATTTACTCTTTCCCGACCAGGATTTGAGTTGTTTATAACAAGGGGACATTGGAAAGCTACAAGCTGATACAAGTGATACAAGCTAAGAGCTTCACCTGTTAAGGAGGAAAAGGATGAGACATGAACACGTGAGAAGTGAGGCTCCAAGCCCAAGTGAGCGAGCGAGTGGTGCCAGGCACACCCTGGCCCAATGAAGGACAGCTCCTGGCCCCCCACGCTCCAGGAGTTCTGAGGGGCATGGCACCTGAGTGACACCAGAGTCAGCTGTACCCAGGTGGAAGATTTGTAGGAAATTAAATGAAATTTATTAAATAGAACAAAAAACAGATTCCTTTGCCTTAACATCCTTTTGTTATGGTTTAATTTGAAGTCACCTTGCTCTTCTCCCATAAATTAACTCTGCTGATATTTTATCATGTACACCATAAAAAATACGGATGGTATAACAGATTACATAAAAAAAATTGCAAGTCATGTTTCATGATTTACAGTTTAACGATTCTCCTCTGGGCAACTTTCAGACTGAAAGCTAAATATTAATATATACTTACCTATACCCATGTGCTCTTTGACATCACAAGTGATAGCAGTCAAGACATTTATATAATTTTCACAGCTTGAAGTCAGGCTGAACTAACAGTAGTGATGAATGAGTTATACTCTCAGAGCGTGAGTTACTGAAGTTCCTCCTAAACTAACTAAATTTCAGTAGCTGCTCTCAGAAAGCAGTAAACTGAATGTCACTGTCAATGTGCAAGAATGTTCAAGATGTGTCACAGCAGAACACCAGGTCAAGTATGACAAAAGAGTTAACATAGTAATACCACTGCTTAGTATTACCTGAATACTCTGATGTATTTAACACACCACTATAAATCTTATCTCTTTTAACATCACAAGCTTTTGAAAGGAAAACTTGAGTGTCCTTTAATATTTATGCTAAGGCTTTTCAATGTTTGCACATGTTCTCACAGTTAAGCAGAGCACCTGTATTTCAGTGGAAAATAATATAATAATCAACTATTCCAATAACGAATGCCATCTAACCTGAACAGAACCATAGGATGCCAGATGGAACTGTTACCTAGTTTGTTCCAAAAAAACTAAGTTGTGATGAAGTGTCAGAAAATAAACAACAGCATATTTTATACAAACGCAGAACAAGCTGCAGAAAACCACACTACTTTCCAGAAATGTAGAACTATCAGTTGGAGTACATAAACTTCTGTCTCTTCTAATACATTCTGATATCCAAGTATGACCAAGAGCACTGTTAGCTTCTTTGTCAAGTGCATGCCTTTGTCTAACAGGCCAGAAAATGCAGTGTTACCCAGCCCCTATATCAGCATCACACTTGCAGACCTCTCATAATACTCTATACAAGTCTAAGTGACAACTAGTAAGACAAAACAGCCTTATGTATAAATGCAAATGGCTGCATATGAGAAAATCCAGCGACATATTCCTCAGCATTGAAAATTTACAGGAGTCACCTGCCAGCAAGGAACGGCATTGTGCAGAACCTGACCAGTATGTGGGAGAGGATGCCCATTTCCAGCACACAGACTTAATAAGCAAGTTACCTGTAGGTACATATGGCTTACCAGAACACTGCCTGAAAGAAAATACTACACTGACAGTAGTCAAAAGCAAAACCTTCAGACAAAATGGTTTTGGCAAATCTTCTTCCAGAGCTGTAGGGTTAGCAACAGATTCACTGCAAATTTGTAAAATGTCTGCATTCAAAATGAAGGTTTGCTCTAACTTTATGCAAGTGACTATTACCCTTCTCTATGTGCATTTCTCATATGTTTTTTTTTTTAATTTTACATGTAAATAGTAGTAAGAGCTACAGTGTCTTAATGAAATGTTATTAAAAAAATCAAGCCAAACACATACTCTGATGCAATCTCCTGGCCCTAGAGCTTTTATCATACTTAATCCAGCATTTGAACTATGTTGATTGAACATGAAAGAAAATAATACTTTGGTAGGAAATTCAAGTGTCTTCCCCAAGAGCATCTTTTGAGACACATGTATTTGGTGCATTCAGAAAGACATGTTCCTCCAATGTATATTTTATAAACCAAAGTAAAGATATCTCTGGAACAAATGCTAAGAGGATCCAGAGGGATGAGTAATGAACTGTCAGCGTTGGAGAGATGTTTTTCAATTCAAGTGTATGACCTGCACAGCAGATTAAAGTAAGGCTACAGACACACAATCAGCTAGAGCATCCCTGGGCAAAAACTGTGCATCGACCTAAATTTGAAATGAATCACACAATGATAAATAAATTGCTTGCAGCCTAGTCTTGCAATCTAAGCCACATTCTGAAGGCTTAATATTCATCAGCTTACCCCTGCTGCCCTCCTTCCCCTCACTGTGAGATGCCCACTAAGCTACGTTGCTAGAGTAGGCTCTTCCAAATTTTGTTTTAAATTTCTGGTTTGGGTGTTAACTCATTGAAAATCTCTCGGATACAAAAGGGAAGGATGCAGGGCTATTTGCCACCTGCAAATCACACAGAATAACAGCATGTAGATTTCACCAGGTCGCTGAACACAGGGGTCCGGCTATCCAGAATGATTTTGTTCCCACTAGCTTTGTTCTTCTATTTCCTGGTACAGCTATGGTACCCATCTGCACTTTTGATTACAAGCTGGGTTACTGATGCAGTGACATCTTCTGTAAGATTATGAATAAAGATTCTATATTCCATTGCAAAGAGAAAAAAGAACAAATGAAAAAAAATACCCAAGACCAAAAGTTGTATTTAGGCATCTATAATAAATCTCCTACTTCCATACTTGACACAACACCAAAAAGAGCCGATTTCCAGAGTTAATGAACTCTGAAAAAATGGAGCAACCAGTGATCTATGCCTCTAAAATTAGGGCAGTGTGCATGCTTTTGTATAAATAGAAATATAGGAACATGATTTTAGGCAGCCAAACTTGAAAAGCTTTGGTCACATTCACCGGAGCAAAGAAACCTCAGGACAAACAGCTGGGCCCCCCTCTGAGCACAAAGCCTCACACTGCAATAATGAATGGTGTCACTGACACCCTCCAAACAACCCAGGCTTGCTGCTTTGCAGAGTGCAACTACTGTGGTGACAAAGATTGAGTACATTTAACATCATCTGCAGTAGATTTCAAATCTGCTAAGGTTGCTCCCCTGTTTCGGTATGGTCTGCATTCTGTCTTTTAAACAAAAATACGATTTTAAAACAATTTAGTTATTCCGGTGCAAATTTGTGTGAATGCTTCTTTCCGTAAACTGAGGTTTGTTAAACTGAGTAAGAATGGGTTTAATCTGGCCTTGAGTTATCTGTGCATACCTATACATAGAAATAGGTTATCTCATTCTTGGAACTAGCTAGACACCAGCTGGGTCCAGTCCAGAGGTCTAGCAACTGTACTTGTGCACCATTTTGGTTAACTCAGCATTTCGACAGCAACACCATCAACTTGGCAACAGCTTCCAGTCCACAGCAGGTTCATACTCAGCTGTACTAGCACGTTTTTGGAGCAAGTTCTTACTTGTATTCAAGTAAACATTTTCTAAGTGGCCACAACCAACCATCATCGATTTAATTAGCCAAGCACCCACTGCTGCCCAGTTGGCTGACTAAGCTCTCATGCCTCTGTGCAGGCTTGAGATTCTGCCCAGGCACATGAGAGTACATGATCCTCATTTCCAAATATACTGCTAAATTACAAGTCAGTTTGAAGCAATGCATTTAAATTAGCAATTACATCTTCTCACTTCCTAAGTGTACTTAGTGTGAGTAGTTAAATGGGAGTCTTTCATTACATCACTATCTTGTGTGCCTGAGTCAGTGCATTGGTCACAGTTTCTCCTGGATGATTATTCACACTTCTTGCAGCAACACCTGCCAGCACAACCAAACATCCCAGACGTTGAGTTTACCTCGTGCACAGTTCCCTCCACATAAAGTCTCTCTGCCTCCTGCACATTTGAAAACTATAGAAAAGCCCTACTGAAACCTTAACTCTCAATGTCCAAGATATCACATCGCTTAGCACACAGATGTTAAAACAGATCATCATAGCTCTTCATAGAATATTTCTTTTTCCAATGTTGATGCTTTGTATCTGGCAGTGACACTCTTTGAAATCTATTATTAGTGCTGGGATTCCCAACCTGTGCCAACACAGACAATGCTAAAATTATCCTGCCTAAAGTGTGTCACTTTCTCCTTTTACCTCTCTAAATTTAATCAGAGTATAATAAGTTGAAGGATAAAAGCCAAGAAGTAGAAAATACAAAATGCATATATCTGGAATGTGTTTTTTAAATAAATGATGCACAAGAACTGCACCACTGGGCCCACAACAAAGGAGGGATAATACAATATACTCACAGCATATGACCATACTTCACATTTTCCAGCACAGAACTGTATTTATCATCTTTATAGATGACTTTGTTAATTTCATTGTGTTTTCTTTCTTTCCTTGTTCCAGGTACATATTTTCTTTTTTTTTCCTTTTATAAAGGTATCTTATTTCAACAGTAATCCAGTTAGTGCCACATTTCCTGTCAGATCTGAGTCACAGGCACCTTATGCTAGTATTAGAATACTTTGCTACCCATCTGCAACTGCAGATTTGAAAGTTTGTCCAAGAAAGTGGTTGCTGTGTTTCTATAAATTTAAAAATGTAATAGAGACAAGTGCAAACAGAAGCAGAAAAGCTTCTTCTAAGTGTTAAAACAGGAGTTAGTCTTTTAAATTTAACTTCTTCTGTTTTAGACTATACTTTCCTTAGGCAGAGTGGGTGTATACAATCTCCACTGTTCTGGTATCACCTGCAAGTTTTAAAAGGGCTTTTTAATGGCCTGGAATCTCTAAACTTACTGCACAGCAAGTCAAACTTTAGGACAGTGGGTTTAACTATTCATTCTTTTGAGGCACCACTGTAGGTAAGCATGACTTACACGCTCTGAGGGTATTGCAGGTATCTGGTGTCAGCACCTTGGCTGCACGTCAAAACCACAATCTCACATACTGCAAAGCTTCCATTTGCATCCTCGGCCTCATGCGGGACTGAGGACACTGCAGCCACCAAACGAAGCCCGGCTGCTGCCCCGGCGATGCCCACCAAGCCTGCAGCGGCCGGGCAGCTGCCGGGACGGAGCTGTGTTTTGCGGAGCTGGCTTCTCCGCTCCGAGGCGGGCTGCCCAGGGCGGGAAGGGCTGCTCCAGGGCCCGGCTCTCGGAGTACCGTACCTGGATGAGGCCCCAGCAGAGCAGCGCGGTGTGAACACAGCCAGGCACCTCTGCTCGGAGGGACACCGAGCCATTCCCGCTGCGGAGCTGCCAGCTCCCTCGCAGGCTGAGCACCTCCGGGCCGCCCGCGGCCACCGCCAGCGGCAACAGCAGCACCGACAGCACCACCGCGGCGCGGCCCATGGCGACAGCCACCGTCAGAATCGAGCTGGGGCGGTGCTTCCAAGGAAGGGAAGGAAGGGGAGGGAGGACGGCGGCGCTCCTGGGGGCGGCGCAGCGCGGGGCCTGCGGGTGGCTCTGGCGCTGAGCGCGGCCGCGGAGCGCGAGGGACAGCGGCCGCGCTCCCGGTTCCGCCCAGGCCGCAGCAGCGCCGGCTCCCGGCGCATGGCCCTGCCCCAGCGCCTCGGCGAACGGGCAGCTTGGTTTGCTTCTTTTCTCCAAGAGGCACGGCGGAACAGCGAGAAGAGGCACTACAATACGGGTACGAGTCTCTGGGATGCAGCAAATGCACTCGGAGCTCTAGAAACCGGCAGGGAGGCGGGCAGGGATGAGGAAGAGTTGTGACAACACTGCAGTGGGTTATCAGTATTGGCTCCTCGAGTCATGAGGCTTTTATATGGCCTCAGACTTCCACATCCTTTTTTCCATAAAATTATAGAGGCGTATAAAACCATAACAGACGTCATGGACATCTCAAAGTACAACGGTTTCCTCATAAAGCAGGGCTGTGGATTTTGTTTATAAAAGTTCAGTAAATTAATCTGCAAAAGCACAGAAGCATCAGCTCCCAAGAACGAACATACAAGAACTATGGTTTTCAAATCACACTGTAGCTTTCCCGTGTGTCCTTGCTAGGTTAATCCCTTCATTCACAGCCCAAAAGCAGAAATTAACAAGTTTTTTAATAGCTCTGCGGAAGGCCTTAGCTCCTCTCCAGGTGTAACACCCGTGGTACTTCATGCTCTGTTTCCACCGACCAGGGTGTGCAGGGGGTTCTGGCTCACCTCCATGAACTGGGAATGTTTCACGCCAGTCCCCCACAGCTGAAGCTGTGCAAGACAAGAACAGGAACACCAGAGTTTTGTTTTAGCTCCTGGCTTTCACACACCTATTTCGGCATACTGAAAGAATCCACCCGAAATTTGTCTTTAAGGCATGACTGCACAAGGTCAACATGCCTATATATTTTTTATGCAAATCCTTTAGAGCTGACAACCCTTCTTTTAAATACAATATAAAAATGCCAGTCCTTCCATTCACCTACAATAAAAAGTACACAATCCAGCCACAGGTAATTCTTTTCACCTGTGAGAGCACAAGAGGGTGTGCAGTTCTGAGAAATACTGACTCAAAGAGAAAGACAGTGGCTGATCTTTTTTTTTCTTAAATTTCTGCTGCCAACCTCAAAAAGGGATAGCTAAGATTCACACTGTTGGGCAGCAAAGGTCATGCAAAAACCTAGCTGTTAGAATAGTTACCGTGTGTGTAATTTTAAGACAGAGTAAGCCACATTCAATATACTGACTTACTGAAATGCTGGTCCCATTTCAGTTCAACTCTCAGCTGTCTTTTAGTGAGATTGCCAAAAAAGGCTGTCATCTGAGATTGAGTTATGTCAACTGACTTTGCATGCCATAGATTTCAGTCAAAATTAGTATTTTCTCACCTTTAATAGTGCAGACTATAAAATTATTATACGTTAATGGTAGAAAGCCTTACTCTGTTTCTGTCCTCATCTGTCAATGAGTAATGTTTTCAGGACAATCAAACATTTCAGTGTTCTTTCCTTAAATTCACTGATACAACACTAAAACAATTTAAACATTGTAATGCTTCTTCAGAGATCTTACAGGATATTATTTCTCAAGAAGCAGATTTACAGCTGTCAAAAAACAACTACAATTATTTTTTAAATAAATGTTTTCCAGCAAGTCACGTGATAGGTTCCCAGTAAGAAGGAAACTGCATTTCAAGCTGTTTACTGTACTTCCGTGTTTTGCCTTTTATTCTTTCTGCTTAAGACTGACTGGAGCAACACACACACCAAAAACCTCAACCTAAAAACAATGCTGTAATTAAGTATTCTGAGAACATGGTGTTTTCCTTGTTCAAGGC